AAACGTCGAAAAGCTAATATTGACCAATCAGAGTTTATATAGTTTTGGAGGAAAGACGATACGTCCTGAAATGGCGCAATTGACAAGCAAATAAACGCTATGTCTACCTGTTATTTTTGCACTGGGTGACACAATAAGAGTCATGGGGTGAGTAAATTGGATCTTTTCCCACGTGTATCCTTGTCGCTTCGTTGAAAATGTGTATATCATTTGCGACCTGACGCGCATTGTGTGGACATCACGCAGAGCGTCTGCAATGACTTAATGCAGTCATGTAATAGATATTCCATTGAGCATGAATATATTTTTTCATCTTTTATTGTCAGGGAAATTGTGATTGAGGATTGCTTTCGGCTGCTGTCAAAGAACTGTTTGTATTGTATGCGTCCCGAACTAGTCACTTTAATTCGCATGTCGAGCGCCACTCATCTGGAATATAACTGGTTTTGCTGTAAAATATTTTGATTTGACATTAGGTTATTATTGTGCGAACAAAAGGAGACTGTATCTGGAGAAATAGGCACGATTGTCATGGGTGGCATAACATCGCGTTCAATAAAGCGTATGTAATGCCCCGTGTTTCCTCTTATTCTCTTGTGTGGACCCCAATGTTGTCCCTCACCGTGATATTGTTGGAATATTGCTAAGAGCGGCGTAAAACTAAACTCACTCACTCTAATTCACCCCTGACCTCCAAATTGACGCTGTATTGATCTCTCTTTTAACAAATAGGTTTAAAATACAACGTAAAACTCATTTGCTCAAATACATTAAATAGTTTACGCTCTGAGACTACAACATTTAGCATTTTGAACATATTATAAACCAATGAACTCAGATAAATTGTTCCGTCTCTCATCTTAATCTTAATATTGAAAAATATATTTTTTTAGAAAACAGCACGAAAATCAATGGTCAATGGGAATGCCTTTGATTTCACCAATCCAGTTTTCATTATACCCACCCAACCCCGACAATCCGCTACATGTCCACTCCTCTTTCCTACACCATTATTATATATAGTTCTTTATATTTCAGTACAGTTTAGTCTACGAAATATAAAAGGGAGTCGCCAGTTTCTGTGTCGAATTTCAAGCATTTTTCGTTGTTGTCCGCCACACCTAGGAATATTCCAGCTATAAATAACCCGTGAAGGTCCGGTTAGAATGAACTTTGAGCAACCCATGCTTGTCGTAAGAGGCGACTAACGGGATCGGGTGGTCAGGCTCGCTGACTTGGTTGACACATGTCATCGGTTCCCAATTGCGCAGATCGATGTTCATGCTGTTGATCACTGGATTGTCTGGTACAGACTCGAATATTTACAGACCGCCGCCATGCATATAGCTGGAATATTACTGAGTGCGACGTAAAACTCAACTCACTCACTCCAGCTATAAATATAGATAATCACATGATTGACATAATGAGATTCGATCTACGCAAATGGAATACGATGACATGCGCCGCCCAATTCTGTTAGTCGCCTCTTGCAACAAGTACGGGTTGTGGGAGACCTACACTAACAACTAGTCTCTGAAATGAACATATTTTACAGGAAAAAAAGTTCAAAGTAAACAAAATAAAATATAATGAAAAGGAGCCCTGAGACTTAAATTTCTTCATCCTGAATCTGTGGAAATCTAGACTTGCCACATTTTCTAGACTTGCGTGGGCTTTCTTAGATATATTTGCTTCAGGGTCTACATGACAGACTATGGGAGGCCAAAAACCCACATCTTCAAAGGTTCAATGCCGATTGATGAAGAAATCTATTGGAAGAACAAGTTGTTGTTTTAGTGTCGTAAAACATTGAAGAAATGATTCTAATACAGAAACCATACGATGAATAGTTTGCCAGTTTATGGTGGATTTTCAGTAACAGCGATCCACGTCTCGTGGGTACGATTACCCGTAATTTTACCAAATCTGTCTGACCACACCATTAAGTTGGTTGGTTGGCTTGTTGGTTAATATTTAAGTTGGTTGCTTGGCTTGTTGGTTAATATTTAAGCAATATTCAAGCTACATGGCGGTGCTCTGACCACCATATAATCGAGTCTGGATCAGACAATCCAGTGATCAACTATCTTGTCGTAAGAGCGACTAACGGGATCGGGTGGCGTCGATCTACACAGTTGGGATACGATGACATGTGTCCAGACTCGATTATTTTACAACCAAGTCAGTGAGTCTGACCACCATGACCACCATGAAGCCATCAAGTCGTCTCTAACGACCGCATGGCTGCTGCTGTGTATTTCTATTATCACGGAATCCACCAGTCACGACCAACTCGGTTATCCAGGTTACCACCACAGGCCCTCGTGTCTTTGCCAGGATTAAAGATGTTTAAAAATTATAAAACATTTGAAACGAACCCCGACTCGAAATGCTTCACGGTACATATACATTATGACAAGGCCATCATAATGTATTGTACTGTATAGCATTTCGAGTCGGGGGTCATCTCAAAAAACTATTTTTTTAAATCTTAATCTTCGCAAAGTCACGAGGGCCTGTGATTACCACACGTTTCCTTTTCGTAACCTGTCCCGGAATAAGACGAGTGTGTCATGAGTGAAGTTTCCATTGATCTGTAAGTTAGAGTGAGTGAGTGAGTGAGTTTAGTTTTACGACGCTCTCAGCAATATTCCAGCTATATGGCGGCGGGTACCCGTGAAGGTTCGGGTTAGAATATTGATCATCAGTAACCCATGCTTGTCGTAAGAGGCGACTAACGGGATCGGGTGGTCAGGCTCGCTGACTTGGTTGACACATGTCATCGGTTCCCAATTGCGCAGATCGATGCTCATGCTGCTGATCACTGGATTGTCTGTTCCAGACTCGATTATTTCCAGACCGCCGCCATAAAGCTGGAATATTGCTGGATGCGGCGTAAATCTAAACTCACTCACTCAGTCACTGAAGATCAATATTCTAACCCGGTCCTTCACGGGTTCTGTAAGTTAGAGTTGACGGATACTTGAAATAATATTTGATAATCGATCAATAGGTATTGACACAACAAATCAACCACTTCATGTCTAGCATTATCCTCGCTTATCCCCTATATTAAATTCTCCTATGTTGTACAAACTCTGGGTCAATCCGCCACAGAGTTTCGTTTGGGATATGACGTCACTATTTCATTCGTAAGAAACTTCACACAGGATAGTTCTCGCTCATATGTTGAATTTGATTGGTCGGCATTACTCGAAGTTGACACAAAACGGGGCTATTGTGGTACATGAATCAGTGCAAGGAATTGTAAGCACATTGTCATGACGGAGTGGAGATTATTACTAAGCACTGGATTATTGTTATCAGGTCGAAGTTTGTTTCTCCAACATATGCATGTAGGTACCGTGACCCATCAGTAGGTTTATAACTGTAACAAACATAATATAATATACGTAGGTGTAAACTGCAATCTGTTTATGAAAATATAGGTGAGGTTAAGTGCAATGGAGTTTAACTGGACAAGTGCAATTTGAGGCATTCCCACTGACTATGGCATTCCAAACAACATAACAGCATGACAACATCCGTGCACACTACGGACAGCATGACAACATCCGCACACACTACGGACAGCATGACAACGTCCGTACATACTACGGACAGCATGACAACGTCCGTACACACTACGGACAGCATGACAACGTCCGTACATTCTACGGACTGCATGACAACATCCGTACACACTACGGACAGCATGACAACGTCCGTACACACAACGGACAACATTACAACGTCCGTACACACTACGGACAGCATGACAACGTCCGTACATACTACGGACTGCATGACAACATCCGTACACACTACGGACAGCATGACAACGTCCGTACACACTACGGACATGACAACATCCGTACCGACTACGGACAACATGGCAACATCCGTACCCACTCTGACACAGTGTACGGGGGCACTGGGGTAGCCTAGTAGTTAAAGCGTTCGCTCGTCACGCCAAAGACCCGGGTTCGAATCCCCACATGGGTATATGGGTACAATATGTGAAGCCCATCTCTGGTGTCCCCCCGCTGTGATATTGCTGAAATATTGCTACAAGCGGCGTTAAACTAAACTAACGAACTAACACAGTATACAGACTCAGAGACGATCAGTCCTTGTTTAACCCCCTTGATGCCAAGTACCGCCTTTTAACACATTTTGTATGACTCGTTTCGGGGATCGAATCACCGACCTACCGCTCTCTTGACAGACACTTTAGCTACTACACCGTAGAGGCGGTCGAAGTAAAGGTGAAAGGAGTGCAGGTATATATTTTTATGTTTTTTTTCAACACTTTATTTAAAAAACTATAACTATAGCAATCGAAATATACTTATCAATACAATCAATGGACGTCATATTTGTATTAAACGTTTTAGACGTTATGGGTGATTATCCACCAGCATATGAACCAATTATACCAAAACACAAAACTTTTGTCGGAAGTAATGACTTATTAATTAATATATGAAGGGGCGCCGAAATTAATCGGATGGATAATACAGGTGAGTTGGTTCAGTTATTGTGTAAGTGTGTTTGGTTTTCGCTGTCTTTTAACAATATTTCTGTAATATCACGGCATGGTAGATTAAAGTGGCCCAGGGATCATACATGTTTTACAAGTTTATCACTTTAACGCAAGCAAGGGTTATTCAGAAATGGAGACCAATTGATTCGGACACACATATGAGACGCGACCCGGCAAAACGAATCGTGTAACCCCCTCTGTTACCAATATACTCGCTCGTAATTTTCCTCGTAAAAAGGGGGCGAAAAAGATGAGATCACTGTTAACTACGAAACAGTCATTATATTTTACGAATGATTCATTCAATATCTGTATTCCGCGCCTTGTTCACATTCGCCACTTGACGTCGATGCATGGAGCCATCAGCAATAGACTGGTCCCATGCCTCTGTTGCGCAAGCTGGCTTTTATGATCGCTGTGAGACGAAGCAAGGACAGGGGCCAAGTCTACGGTACACCGGAACTTGATTTTAAAAAGGCCGCCATATTTATACAAGGTGCAAGGCAACGTGAGAAACTCAATCAACTACAAAAATGTCCACAGCATCAATTGATGATGTTACCAAACAGCTTGCCAAGACGTCTGTGGCCCCAATACACGAAGTGAGTTTCAAAGGAAGAGGTCTGAAATTAAACAAAGCTGAAGATGGTAAGTTTTCGTTTCTGAACTTCAACACAAAACATAACCTGGTCGACTTGGCAACTTGGACTCAGACGACTGTCTCAACACTATTGTATATGCTGGCTCATTTTCTTTGAGAATAAGAAGTCTATGCACAAGTAATTGTGATCATGAATAACGGATTACATGGGTTCCGTGAAGATCTACATGAAATAATGCGACGAAACGAAGCCATGAAACAATGGAAGCTGAAGGGGTCATTGTTGGCACAGGTACTACAGATATGTACCCCAGGATATACAGCAACGTACCCTAACCAAAATCAGAATGTAGAAACGTACTCATGGACGAGTGCATTCCGCATTTTTTCGTTTTCTTGATCGGAACTGTGATTTGTATGAGTAGCATTTGATTGCGTTATACAGGAAACGATCATGCTCAGTAACGAACATTTGGTGTTGCACTGTCACTCGCAATCAGGCGACCGGGAACAACTATATACGTTTTATGGTACCATGTACAGATGTAAGTTTCTGTATTTTGACTTTGTTTAGTGTACATTTCTGTATACAGAAACATACCTGGTGTACATATCTGTAGTACCTGTACAGACAATGACCACTTCAGCCAAATTTGAAAGATAATGATCATGATCATAGTAAGAATGTTGATTTACAATTTGACACTCCTCACTAAAAATAGCTATTCTTGGTGTAGCTCATGCGTGAGTTAATTTAGTTTTAAGCCGCATTCAGCAATATTCCAGCTATATATGGTGGTGGTCTGTAAATGATCGAGTCTGGACCAGACAATCCAGTGATCAACAGCATGAGCATCGATCGGCGCAATTGGGAACCAAGTCAGTGAGTCTGACCACCCAATCCTGTTAGTCGCCTCTTATGTCAAGCATGGGTTACGGAAGATCAGTATTCTAACCTGGACCTTCACGGGTGTATAGCTCATGAGTTTTCAAGTGGAAAGAGTTCCTTCCGTTTCCCCATATTATTTTTGTAACATTACTGTGCCTGGGGCCCTTATCATACAACATGGTTCACCCCTATATATTGTAATTATTTTTCGGGCTTGTAGTTATTTTTGTGAGTTCTCTAGTAATTGTTGTGTTAGGTTTTGTTAATAATTTCAGTATATATTAATTTATGCATATTGTTTGGGATGGGGGAATGGGAGGAACTCTTACTGTGGTGTTTATAAATACAGAACATATTTAGCGATGACAAGTATGCCAAACATCTTTGGTAAAATATTCTGTTTAGAAATATTAAAGTGTAAGCAGGGCAGTGGGGTAGATTGTGGTTAAAGCTTTCACTTGTCATGTCCCACATAGGTACAATGTGTGAAGCCCATTTCTGATGTCCCCGTCATGATAGTTCTGGAATATTGCTAAAAGCAGCGTAAAACCATACTCACTCACTAAAGTAAAGTGTAAGCAGTCATAACTGTTGTGAAAACTTTCATATAATTATGTACACCTAATATTGCACTGAAAGAGAACATTCAATGTGGATTCCTTCATACAGTAAGAGCAAATGAGTAAATGTCCCAGTATTTGTCAGTCTCAATGGAAACCAAGGAAAGCTAGACATGCAATGTTTGATGATATGTCTTTTGACATTTATTGTAATTATTTAAATTGGCAGCATAAACCTGCAGGGGAAGTGTAAGTGATCTCATACACAAATATGTTAACATTCTCAATGGTTCAGTTGCTGTAAACATGAATATAACTGTATGTTACTCATTAATGAGTGTGATACCAGGGATTTACCTTGAGGGTACCTGAGACTCATACTCTTTAATTTTCAGGGGTCCTGGACAACAAAGTGGGGGCCCCAGACACTTAAATATTATTATTAATACCATGTTGTAATATTCATCTAATTGAGTACCTGTTATTGTAGGGTTTTACATGACACGTGATTCCTGCGTATTTGACGCAACAATTTTGTTAATGACTCTCAAAATACTATCATACGAGTCAAGCTTGACGCAAGTTTTATAGGTGGCCCTCACAATTCAGTTCAATAAAATCGATTTGATAAGCAAAAAATTATATTGTTTGATGATAGTTTGACTTTTACAGAGCTGTCAGATTGTTCCAGAGAACTCAGAGGAGACAGTAATCCTGGCTGTTTGAACTGAACAATGCTGTAGTTTCATTTGGTGGTGTGACAAACAGTTACATACTGAGAATGATAAACACAAAGAAATATTAAATTTTCAAGACTCCAAAATATTGAAAATGACTCCCAAAAATTAATATTGTGAGTCACCATGACTCCCATTTTTAAAAGTCTGTGTAAAACTCTGTTTTGTATCATGATCATCTCATTGTTACAGTAATTAAATTGCAAAAGATACCAGAACCTGGCTAGTACTCAGTGACAACTTATTGTTACTTATTGTTCGAAATTTGTACAAAGAGTATTTGGACATTTTCTACGTCTCTGTGGACACGCTGATGTATTTTGTTGGGTCCATTGTCAATTTTTTATGGGTATAGGTCTCAGGAATTCGCGTTCCGTAAATTCCTGTGATACAAATATTGGACGATAAATTTTAATGATGAAAAGCATGCATTTCCATGATCTTGTTGATGTATGTGGTGTTTCACTGTTTCCATGGTAGTTCACTGTTTTCATATCTTGCAGCCAAAGAGATTGTGGAGGCAATTGAGAAGAGTGAACAGATGACATCTCTACAGATGATGGGTAACACAATGGGAGTTGAAGCTGCTGAAGTCATATCCAAAGCACTTGCCAAACATCCAGAGTTTGAGGTGAGCAGCATGGTTGAAGTTGAACCCTGTAAAGATAGAGATGCTTGAAAGTATAATAACAGGTGAAATGCTTATGTTCTTGGGTATCATGTAGGGCTGGACTGTGAGTTGAATATGAATTTATGATACATATCACAAATATTGGGAATGAATGAAATAACAACTTATCAGTTGATGTATTATTCATTATATTCAGTGAAACAATAACAAAATAAATTCCTTGACATGGCTTGACCATGTTCACTGTGTTAATTTATCATGATCAAATTAAATATAGAAGACTCTTGGCTATTATCATGTCTGGCTTGTATATATTTGATGTTGCATGTATCGCTTTCATAAATAACAAACAAGGTCAAGTGAAAACACTCTTTTTTACACTTTTTAAAAATGAATATTTGGTTCTTGTTGAATTGAATTCATGAAAGAGATTACAGTTGATTCACCGAATACAGGACTGAATCAGATTCATAACAACCCAAGTATCATGTATGGAAATTACTTCATTGTTTATTTTGTCTTGCAACTGCAAACTGGATAGTGTTTGCCATGGTTTATGTTTATTGGCAAAATGAAAGCTCACTGTGCCCTAACTAATCTTGACTAACACCAAACCAGCTAAAGAATAGATTGTTGTTAATATGAGAATGGTTTTCTGATTCAAGTTCTCTCTTAGGGTAACAAAGTTCCCATTTTTCATCAGTGTAGAAATAAGTGTATTTAAGTGATAGCACTGCACTAGTTGTCCCCCGCCGCAGCGCGGAACGGGGGACTATGTATTCAGCAGCGTCCATACGTATACGTCCATACGTACGTCCCGATTCTTGTTAATGCGATATCTCATGAACTGTTGTACCCAATGTCTTCAAATTTGGTGTCAGCCTACATTGTGGGATTACGCAGACACCAGTCGATTTGCGTGACCTTGACCTTATCTTCAAGGTCACCATGACACTTTGCATGCTTTTAACTCTTATTAACGCGATATTTCATGGACTGTTGTACCCAATGTCTTCAAATTTGGTGACAGCATACATTGGAGTATTACACAGACACCAGTTTATTTGGGTGACCTTGACCTTATCTTCATGGTCACCACGATACTTTGACCGCTTTTTAAAGCGGATATCTCATAAACCATTACCAAGTATGTTGACAGCTTACATTGGGTGATTATGCAGACACAAGTCATTTCAGGTATCTTGTATGTGACCCCAAAATAAAAAGTAGTAAATATAGATATTCCATTCTTTGGGGGGGACATTGCCATATCAGTGGCAAACACTTGTTGTACACAATTATTAGTGGACATGATAGCTTCTCTCTATCTATTTTCAGAGAGCCCGCTGGAGTGATATGTTTACAGGGAGATTAAAGTCTGAAATTCCCAAAGCACTGGTTTGTATTGAGTATTTTGTTTATGTAATATTGTATTCTGTAAATTTTCTTCAGCCTCTTCCCTTAGATCTGCTACATCTTTAGTTTTGTTGAATCACACATCTTGATGTATGTCATGACAGATCAAGATGGGGGTAATGTTTTTGTGTTTCAACATTATTAATTCATCACTGATTGGTATGACAACGGTAATTTTACAGCTAAAACATTCAAGTTTGCACCTGTTAACGTCCAGGTTAGAATTGGTTTTCAGCAATCCATGCTTGTTGTAAGAAGCGAGTAACAGGATTGGGTGGACTGGCTTGCTGGCATGGTTGATGCATGTCAGCCAACACCAGTTGCATAGATAGGTGCTCATAATGTCAATCACTGGATTGTTTGGTCCAGACTCGTTAATTTACAGACTGTCATGATACAGGTTGAAAACTGCATGCGTGGCAGACATACAAAAGACTACTTTCTCACTACTGTGTTTGTCCTGTGTGTAGAAACATCTGGGTGAAGGCATAATAGGAGCTGGAGCCCAGTTGGTGGAGCTGGACCTGAGTGACAATGCCTTTGGCCCCAATGGTGTGCAGGGCTTGGTGGACCTCATAAAGAGCAGCAGCTGTTACACACTACAGGAACTCCGTCTCAACAACAATGGCCTTGGCATCACAGGAGGGAAGGTGTGTAATGGGCTGTCTAGGAATCATTGATCAGTATAAATGTTGTCAACACTGTGTATTACTTATTACTTGGGGTAGCGTCGTGGTTGAAGTGTTCGCTCATCACGCAGAGACATGGGTTCGATTCCCCACATTTCTGGTGACTCCTGTCATGCTATTGCTGGAATATTGCTAAAAGTGGCGTAAAACTAAATTCTCTCACTTCATTAATTTTTCCTACTTGTGTCTCTTAAATGATTTTCATTAAAAAAAATGGTGTTTCAAATTATGATTTCAGGTCTAAAAAGTAAAGGTATAATGCGAATAGTTCATATATGGTAGCATCTCTTTCCTTCAGATGCTGGCGTCCAGCCTTCTTGATTGTCACAAGAGCAGCTGTGCAGCTGGCAGGCCACTTGCTCTGCGAGTCTTCATATCTGGTCGAAACCGGCTCGAGAATGAGGGAGCTACAAAACTTGCAGAGGTTTTCAAGGTAGTGTGAGCTTTTAGTCCTGAAGGAATTGAGAGCTAACATGTCCATAAGAAAACCATGTGTGAGTAATTGACTTGTCACCAACATAATTGTTGCATGATGAAAAGACTGTTCTGTTCCAAATTCAGACATTTTATTTGAAAATGGCTAAAAAAATCCCAATGTTGCAACAATGTGCATCCATATGCTTCGTCATGTGCATCCATATGCTTCGTCATGAGTTTTGCTAAGCCATGTTATGTGCAGTACCACAGTTCCATCCATGCAGATTCAGTACAACATCACTGTAAGACTAAAGTGAAGCTGCTTAAATACTTATCTTATCATCCTCATCTCAGTAGTGTAGGGGAGGTGGGGTAGCCTAGCCTAGTGGTTAAAGCGCTCGCTCGTCACATTGAAGACCTGGGTTCGATTCCCCACATGGGTACAATGTGTGAAGCCCATTTTCTGGTGTCCCCTGCCGTGAAATTGCTGGAATATTGCTAAAAGCGGCGTAAAACCTAACTCACTCACTCACTGATCTCAGTAGCAAAGTGTCAAATATTGAAGCAGGATTCAAGGTTTTGATATTTTGACGGTTGTATAGAAAATGTCAAATATAATATGTATGTGATGTGTATAATCATGTGTGTTATTCTGTCAGGCTATTGGCACACTGGAAGAACTGGCCATGCCCCAGAATGGAATCACCCACCCTGGTATATCAGCTCTTGCCGATGCAGTAGCGGTCAACAAACGTCTCAGAGTACTCAATCTTAACGATAATACGTTTACAGAAAGAGGTGCCAAAGCCATAGCAAAGGTATGTTCAATTTGGTTATTGATATGTATTATTATTTCATCATATCCGCTTTGAATTGGTCTTCAGCAAATCTATGCTTGTTGTAAGAGGCGACTAACGGGATTGAGTGGTCAGGCTTGCTGACTTAGTTGACACATGTGATTCTATCCCAATTGTGTAGATTGATGCTCATGCAGTTAATTACTGGATGGTCTGGTCCAGACTGGATTATCTACAGACAGACAAAAAGCTGGAATATTGCTGAGTGCAGCATTAAACAAGAAACAAATAAACGTTTCATGTTCAAGTGTTATCTATTTCTTTTACAGGCCCTACCTAAACTCGACAATTTAGAAGTAATTAACTTTGGTGACTGTTTACTACGAAATGAAGGTGCAAAAGCCATTGGCAAGGTTTTAAATGAAGGTCATAGAAAACTAAAGGTAAGTGGACTGGTCTATTTAATTTCATTGTATACCATGGTGAGATATATTGCCATATCGTGTATGATATATATATACTGCAAGCCTGTGCATGCTGTTTGAGGGTGTGGGTGTCCCAGCTGTCTGAGGCATCACAGTTAGCTTGCAGAGTTGTGTCCCATGGGCAAGCCAGAAATCTTTGTGTCTTTTTCAACACCATTTGCAACTACTTGTCCCTTTCCGTAGCCTGAAAGAATACTCGTACCCCTCTCGTAGCCATTTTACTGAACTTGACTCTGTATGAGCGCAAAAGCGCAGAGAGAAAGAAATTGTCGAGTTGCCAAACTATTTTCAAAGGCATGTAACTCTAGTTTACTTAGAAAACAAACATGGCATCCATGCCAAGGAAATTTACCTCAAAGGGTATGCTTAACATGCTTAAATACTTTCCTACGCCATAATGTTAATATATCCTGGTTATAAAAATTCAGGAAACCCAGGAGGACTATGCAATAACTAAAATATACTTGAAGTGTCTGGGGAAAATTATGCAAGTCGAAATGAAAATTATTTCAACTAACTATTTTGACCCAATTTCTTCTCTACATACACCCATTCTGATTGGCTGGGGGAATATTTCCCCCGAACATGGCCACGAGTAAGTGGGGTACATGTCTTCTTTCAGGTTACGGAAAGGGACGAGTAGTTACGAATGTGTCAACACTATACCAAAGTGTTCCTGCATCACACTGGGCTTTCCTCCCCCCAGTTGGCTGACCTGCCATAATATAACTGGAATACTGTTAACATTGGCATTAAACATAACTCACTTACTTGACAGTTTGCAGACTGTTTCATACAGAGTGGAAGTGTCCTTATTACCATAATACGTAGATATGACATGTCTCAGGGCTACAGATAAGGGGCATACAGGCGTAATGTACGCCTCAAAATCAATTAAGTACGACATAATATAAGATTTCAAGCGTATCGTGTATGCGCACATAAATACCTTTGTATGTCTAACATTTAATTTCCGTGCGTATCGTGCAAATGGAAATCTATTTCGGATAAATACTTGTCAAGTTTTTTTGCGAAACACGATTTGACACATGAGGAAACCCCGACAGTAGGAATCACTTGCGTTGCAATGCAACGATATGCATCACTATTTTTCGATTGGCTAAAACTACACTGTTCCTATTTATATCCAGTCGGACCTGACATTTCTCGCATCACACTGGTCGCTCAATTATTTCTCACGCGTCTTCAAATACAAATACATGGTTGGAAATAGTGATCGATGAAACGTCCAGACAAACCACATCACCAACTTGCTCACACAAAAACATGTCAGTACTCCTTCAAAATTCTCAGTACACCTCCACTTGCAATATGATGTGTAAGTACACTCGCACCCCCAAAAGTTATCTGGAGCCCTGTGTCTTATGAAATTTTGGGATAGAATAGTTTCCTAGCACCTGATACATGTTGTAAGATTAAAGTTGATGGATCAGGTGGTCAGGTTTTGTGACTGTGGATTGCCTGATAGCTGGGTTCATTCCTCATGTACCAATCACTGGATTGTCTGATCCCAGCTTATTATTGTCAGACCGCTATAATATTGCCAAGTGCAGCATTAAACACGAGAGAAACAAAGAGCAAGATATCTAATACCATCCCACATCCACTCTGTCATCATCTATGTGGTTCACTCAGTTTGTGGGTTCAGACATTGGAAACCGTGAAGGTCCGGGGTAGAATGAACCTTCAGTAACCCATGCTTGTCGTAAGAGGCGACTAACAGGATCGGGTGGTCAGGCTCGCTGACTTAGATGCCACATGTCATTGCGCAGATCGATGTTCATGCTGTTGATCACTGGATTGTCTGGTCCGGACTCGATTATTTCCAGACCGCTGCCATATAGCTGGAATATTTCTGAGTGTGGCATAAAACTTAACTCTCTCACTGACTCACTCAGACATTGGATCAGATGATCACAGACATGTTTAACATGCTTGATCTTAACAAAGTAATTTTGTTTTCAGGAGTTGATATTGTCCGGCAACGAGATTGGCAGTACAGGGGCAAGCAGTGTTGCAGAGAGTCTTGAAGACAAGAAGCATTTAGTGAAGTTAGACCTCAATGGTAAGTAAAAGAACACTAAGGTGATCATACTCAAACAACTACTCATGGGTTTCACGGTTGCCAACCTCAGTACACCACGGCCCTATCACTATTTTCTTCTTTATGGTAACACTATATTGATTTTCAATGAAAATGAACTTTCAACATGGTTTGTCAGCTTGAGTAAGTCCAAATAGTCGACAGTTCATTTATCATTCTGTTTCTGGCTTCTTTTTTTGTTCTATAGATTAATACATTTGAACTGAAAAGACACATTTGATTAAGTCTTAAGTGTGTTTATTTTTGACAGTTGGTGTTCAGATACTATGTTAAAAATGTTGAATCGGGTATGCTTGTAGAATTCAACTAAAGTGGATTAAGTATTTCGCTGGGTGACCATTGTTTGACGACTGATATGGGATGGTACTCATAGCATCAACCACTGTCTTTATAGCCAGACTCAAATTTCTTTTTCAAAAGAGATCCTCCTTGGGGTACTTATAAGCATTAAAATGTCCATTTTAAAATCCTACGACAGTTGTAATTATATTTTTCAATAAAATAATTACAAAACAAAAACTTGTTTTTGTCTTGTTGAGCCACCCCTACAGGCCCCCTGGGGGCCCCCAACAGCCAAGAGCAGGTACCTCTAAGCGTGAACCTCGTACCTCACTTTTCATGCTGTCATTCTTCATACAAGACGTGTGCATGTGTTCAGTGATATTTCCTACATTGGCTAAGGGGTGGTGGGGTAGCCTAGTGGTTAAAGTGTTGGCTTGTCATGCGGAAGACCCGGGTTCGATTCCCCACATGGGCACAATGTGTGAAGCCCATTTCTGGTGTTCCTGCCGTGATATTGCTGGAATATTGCTAAAAGCAGCGTAAAGCCACACTCACTCACTCACTCACTCACTCACTCACTCACTCACTCACTCACTCACTCACTCACTCACTCACTCCTACATGGCTGGGTGACCATTGTTTGAGCAACCACTGTCTATATAGCCAGACTCAAATATTTACATGCCCGCTGTGATATAGTTGGAGTAATGCGAACTACAACATTGAAGAACATTCACTCACTGACTCTTGTCACTTTCAGCCAACATGCTCGGGGAGGATGGCATTGAACTGGTGCAAGGAGCAAAGCAAGTTGTAGGCAAAGAGAATGTGCTTGCGTCTTTCAGGTAGGTAGACCGCTGAGATAATGAGACTAATTGTAGGCTTAACACCATGGGGACTTCTGGGTCCACTGCATGATGTGAGCATTAAGTCTCTAGTAGACCTGGTCTCCTGCATGCCGTGTGTCTTGTTGGAGCCGACTGGTGAAGATCTATCAATTGCTGTCTATTCAGGAATAGGAAATATGAATGTAGTAGAACACACATATAACGAAATTGGATATAGAGAACAAACAGAGAACATTGCAGTATCAGTACTATCATGGTATACTATCGTCATAATCAGTGTTTCATCTCTTGCTAAACTTGCTTTATGTTCATCTTCCCTGTATTTGACGTAATCTTGTGTGTGACACAAACATTACACATATAAATAGGGCAATTATTGTTTTGTTTAAGCTGAGATGGCAGACATTTCTGGGAGAAAATGTATATGTAAGGGACTGATTTCTCTAATTCCTTGAAGTTTGTTACATCCATGTTCACTGCAATTTGTTGTTAGTTCAATTTTTATCTTGATGAGGATGTAAATATACTGAACAACATTAGAAACACACCACCCATATAATACAAAAAAGTTTCCTTATCCTGACTCATGCTCTTTTGCTTGTCTTCTTCTTCTTGCGAACATAGTGGAACACTTGTATCTCCTTAATTGAAGCTCCCTTCAATGTAAAATCACTAATTAGTACTCACCAAGAGTTGCCTCCCTTTGCCCCTGCGCGGGAAAGGCGGCGCCACCTTCTGGCCTCATGCTTCACTCTCTCCTTCTTCGCCCAGTGAGCAGGATGTGAGAGCGCCTGTGTCTCCTTACACACTATATCCTTTGGTTATTCTTAGTTAGTTACCTCCTATAGGTTACTATAGAGGTGTAGCTAGTATCCTTCATTAATATGTATTGATAATTATTTGTATTTCTACTGTTTATTCACGAGATTTCGTGATTGTTCAGCTAGTTTACGTTGATGAGAATCTGTACTATTTGTAGATTACGTTTTTCTGCTGCTGACCCGCATGTAATATGCCCTAGCTGTACTACGCCTTGTGCGTTTGATTCACGTTGCAGTTACTGTATTAATCTATCTAATTCTGCTTTTAATAAATATCATCTTTGCGTCTTGAGACGTGCAGCAGATAGGTCACGCCAAACAAGGGTTAGACATGGCGATACGCCGGAACCCTAGCCAGTCAGCTGCTGTCGGACGACCCCCTCCCGTCTGGTGTTCCGCTAGAGTTTCCCTCGGAGGAGGGGCGTGGGATGCAGTCCGCCGCCTCCAAGAAGCGTCCTGCTTCCCCAGACATCCCGTCGTCGCAGCCAAAGTCTAAGAGGGCCTCGACATCTACTCAACAGACTCCTTTGACCCCCAGGGCAGCGCGTCTACCTCCAAGGGAAAGTCACGAAGTCGTCAAGAACCTTCTCAGACGAGATTGTTCCAGCCGCTGAACTGGGCCTCTACGATGACCAGCCGATCATCATCCCCGACCTACGCCACAAGAGACGACCGGTGTCGGCAACTGTGACGTCAGCGCAGATCACCATGCAGCCTGATGTATCTACACCGATGTCGGACGATCTTCCTGAGGGCCCCGTCGCTAACATCGCAGAGAGGGCACCAACTACATCGTCGTAGACCGTCCCAGACGACCTGATGCGGCAAATCATGATGATGATGGAGGACCGTTACAGACTGGAGAGACAACCAGCCCAGGACCTGAGCCTTAGCGAAAGCTCCAACGTAGACGACACCCCAGAGGGACCCCCCGTCAACGTAGCGGCCACGACGAAGCCACCTTCGCGAAGGAAGTCACAGACCACCTCGACGAAGGACCCAGATGTACAGCCTTCGCGAAGGCGGGATAGATCATCACCTACCTCGGCTTCATCCTTAGATGCGGACTCGGACCACCAGACTTCACGAAAGCCTTCGCGAAGGTCAAGTCATCGTTCCCCAGGACCGGACGCAGAGGAAGCTTCGCGAAGGCCTTCGCGAAGGGCACCTTTATCAGGCTCTAAATCATCGTCGTCCAGAAGGTCATCGAGGGATTCCACAAGAGCTTCGCGAAGCTATCAACATTCACCTCACAGATCTCCGCGAAGGTCAACCTATAGACGCAGATCATCAGGCCGTTCACCAAGACAATCCCCTCGCCATTCGCCATGCCGATCACCTCGCCGTTCACCGCGCCGATCTCCTCGTACATCACCACGTCGATCTCCACGCAGGTCACCACACAAGTCTTCACAGAAGTCCACAGTCAGGTCTCCTTTAACGTCACCTTGTACAGTGGTAGAAGCACAGAGTCCACCATCTGAAGAGCAGCAACCTCTTATCAGCGATCCCGTGGTAGAAGATGATGGAGGCATCATTTTCTCAGACGCTGAGATACGGTATTGGATGGTTAACAACCTAGACCTTTCTTCACCTTCCAAGAGTGGTAACTCGGCGCATACTTACCTGATGAAGGAGGACGATGCAGACGCCGTCACCTTACCTCCGATCGACCCGATTGCTGCGGTGCCACAGAATTTGGACACAGCCTTCCATAAAGCCCACGAAGTTCAAAGCGCCACACCTACCGCGACTTTCACGCTAAAGAAGTTTTCAACTCATAATATGGACCCCTTCCTCAAGGCACAAGACATCGATGATAATTACAAGATGATCAACGATGTCAAGAATAAGAACTATAAGATTGATGATCGCAAGCTGGTTCAGATAGAAACCATGACGAGACGTATGTTCTTTGGCCTTAATAGATCTAGAACGATCAATGAGACTCTTATCACCAGATTTCGTGACACGACTTCTGAAGATGATAGGATGATCTGCTCGGCCCTACTGATGCAAAAGAAGCAGTTCCTAACGGATCATCTCACATCAGTCTCAGCAGCGCTAACCTTAGCCGTCGTCAAGGCCTCCTCGCTTCCTGCAGCTGGGGTGAGCAGTTTACAGCTCCACTCTATACAGCCCCGTGGTCCTCACCATCCATCTTTGACGGAGGGATAGAGAAAGTCTCCAAGGAAGTCACTAAGGATTCTAGAGAAGTCCTTATGATAAAGTCGATGGACACGCTAGCCAGCGTCATCAGGCAGACTTCACAAAGATATTCAGGGATATCTAAATTCACTGGATTACAGAGAGCACAGGATAGGAAGATGGCCAGCTCCAGGGGAAAAGATTCTTTTCGTCGCCCATATGGCAACTACAGAGGAGGATCAGGAAGAGGCAGGGCACCCAGAGGTTCCCGCAACTATAAACGATGAAAAACAGGTTCGGAACGACTGGAGTCTTCCACCCCCAGCCGTTCCAGTACAACCGTCACAAGTGGGTGGACGCCTTCAACTACACTGGGAGAAATACAGACTCATTTACAACATGAGCATATTCAACAGAGATTATCTACGCAAACCGCCAACGTTTCGCATGATACATCTACCTCAATTACGACAACCTCGACGACAGGATACAAGTAGATCAAGATCCACAGCGTCTCAAACTACAGTTAAACTACATCATAAAGCTACTAACACAGCTAGGATGGTTAGTAAACTTACTCAAGTCGGACCTAGTACCCTCGCAAGATCTGCAATTTCTAGGCATTCGATTTATCACGACTCTCAACCGTATCGTTGTACCAGAAGACCGATGGCTCAAGATCCAACAGACCATTCCTCTAGCCCTACTCTCTCCGTTACCACTATGACAATGGCAGAGCCTGTTGGGTCTCCTCACGTCAGCTCAAGACATGACAGTCAGAGGCAGACTACAGTTACGTCCGTTACAGGTCTTCATCAATGCTCATCTCGACGACCTGCAACCATTCAGTCTACCGAAACACCTCAGACCTCATCTACTATGGTGGACCAGGAGGTCGAATGTCTGCGAAGGTATTTGTTTAACAGAGCAGGAATTCAAAACCCATCTATATGTAGACGCGTCGCTCCAGGGTTGGGGAGCTCATCTCGCCAACCGGACGGCTTCAGGGTTATGGAATCAGCAAGAAAGCAAGCTCCATATAAACATGTTAGAGATGAAAGCGGTAATCAACGCCATACTTCATTGGAGCACCATTCTACAAAAGGCGCATCTGATGATTCATACCGACAACTCGACAGTGGCGTTTTATGTGAACAAACAAGACTCAACGAGATCACTGAACCTATTGACTTAATGCTTTCAACTGTTCCATCTAATCGACGATCTCAACTTACATGTCAGAGCATGTCACATTCCCGGAGCCAAGAATGTACTAGCAGACGCACTCTCTCGGCCACATCTACCGTCACCCGACAGAATGGATGCTCCATACAGAAATTTTGCACAGATTATCAAGCAAATAGGAGCCGCTAGTAGATCTATTAAGCCACTTTCGCTTCAACAATCAGCTACCGACATTAAGTATCGCCAGTCCGGACCCACAAGCATGGGCAGCGGGCGCTCTAAGCATATCCTGGGAAGGCCTCAATGCGTGCAGCGTTTCGCGCCAGCGATAATCCCTCAAGTGTTACAGAAAATCAGACAAACACAGAGCCTCCAACTCACTTTGGTGCAGCCCTACTGGCCAGCCAGAGCGTGGTTTCCCATTCTAATTCAAGAAATCAGTCAACCAACACTAGAGCTACCAAAGCGCTCGAATCTATTAGTACATCCACACACCAAACAGGTGCACGGAAACCCAGAAGTATTCCAACTTCACGTATGGACTGTATTAAAATGTGTTTAAACAAGAGGATATTCAACCAGAGCGGCAAAAGCAGTCCGCGCGCTTTGCGCTATTCTACCGTAACTTGTAATGCGGCGACAAGTGGCACAGTTTCGAAAATTACGCAGCAAATAAGGGATTTACAGCGAGAGATGCTACACATCCACAAGTGGCAGATTATTTGTGTTACCTACGCCAAAACAAACATTTAAAAGGCTCGACACTGTCAACATATCTTGCCGCGCTTAGTTCTGTGATAACTATGAGAACGGGTGTCAAGCTAACCAAGATGCCAGAGTTACTGGCCTTACTACGTGCTTTCCGATTGGAAGATCAGAAGCGGAAGTTCCATGCCCCAGCTTGGGATCTGAATATAGTGCTCCAACACCTCACAAGTGAGGCTTATGAACCGTTGGAATCGACAACCTTTGAATTTCTCTCACAGAAAACATTATTCCTGTTATCTCTAGCGACGGCAGCCAGGATGTCAGAAATTCACGCACTAGATTATGAGAGGATACAGTTTGATGACAATCAAAACACAGTGCACTTGGGACTAAGATGGGATTTCATCGCCAAAAATCAATTGCCAGGTCAACCAGACAGATTATTCCATATTCCTGCACTCTCCTCGATTCTCGGATCTCAAGATACACTGGACTTATCTCTATGCCCAGTCAGAGCTCTCAAAATCTATTTACGACGTTCCAAAACAAGGCGACGACTTCTCAAACGATTATTCATCCCCTTATCGGCAACAACTCAGACAGAAGTCTCTCGTACCACCATATCTATATGGATAAGAACTGTCATACTTCGCGCCTACAAGGCTGCAGGACTAGACCTTCCAAAAGCATCAAATCCCCATGAGATCAGGGCATTGGCTTCCACACTCGCGCTACATGGTAACTGTTCCTTAAATACCATCATGGAAGGCTGCTTTTGGAAATCCGACATGGTGTTTGCTAATCACTATCTGAGAGATATCACCACCGAGGACGTCTCAGGTATTCACCATTTCGGTCCCATGGTCCTCGCACAGCAGTTGACAGTCCCTCGTAGACGTTAACACATAGTCTTACGAGATTATTATGTATATTTCATACCAGTATTATCTAGCTTATAACTCTACGGAGTTTTAGGGCTATTTATATACTTAGCTTAAGTCTACTCAGCCTTAAGCTTGTACTGATGATTATGTTCAGTTGGGTAGCTTCTCCATATGGGAGTCGGTTTGATATCTTTATTGCTATTATGATAGTATATTATTTTTGTAATACCCCATCTATGGCAGTGTATAAACTTATGGTTTATAGTAGCAGGAATTATCCTAAGTCAGTGCCATTATGAAGTTCCCGTTAGGGGGTTATTACAGTTATATATATATAAATCACTAATTAATTTTATAAATCCAAAGTATTCTGTTCTTTCCCACCTCCGTTTCGGTAAGGATTCTACAAACAAAAGAGCATGAGTCAGGATAAGGAAAAATATGTAATTTTTGAGTAAAATTGATATTTTATACTTATCCTGACTCATGAGGTAAGCCCTCCCATCCTCCCCACATAACACTTTGGATTTCCCTGTAAATTCAAGTGTTGGGCTCGCTATATCAGGAGAGAGTGAAGCATGAGGCCAGAAGGTGGCGCCGCCTTTCCCGCGCAGGGGCAAAGGGAGGAAACTCTTGGTGAGTACTAATTAGTGATTTTACATTGAAGGGAGCTTCAATTAAGGAGATACAAGTGTTCCACTATGTTCGCAAGAAGAAGAAGACAAGCAAAAGAGCATGAGTCAGGATAAGTATAAAATATCAATTTTACTCAAAAAATTACATTATCCCCGTCTGACTGAAATGTACCCATGATACCTGAGCATCGTCTGTGCATTTTAGTGTGGTGCGTTTCTAATGTTGTTGAGTATAGTTGTATGGTAAATGACATAAATGGTTGTTGAAATTTGTTGTGACTGTGTTCTAATTATTTCAGTGATGATGAAGGATGTGATGAGGAGGAGGATGAAGATGAGGAAGAGGAGGAAGAAGTAAGTGGATTTGCTCATGATAAAGCAGTAAACCTCAGAAAAGCTGCAACATTGATAAATTATTTGGCTCTAATTTTTAAGTTGTTTTTTTTGTTTGTTTTTTATTTATTTTATTTTATTTATTTTTTTATCTCAGTCAAATCAAGGTGTATATATAACGTTAGTGTTTATATATATTGTATCAGTTCAAGAAATTAAAAGAAATTTTTGAGGTTTTATTACATAGTATTATATTTTAGGGATCCATGATTAGCAGAATGACGTGCCTTCTTTCAAACACTGGATATATAACTTGATGACAGGGACTTTGTAGAAACTAAGTGCTCTTGGGACACAAATTTGGATGAGAAAAAGGGGTATTTAAACATTTCATTCAAAGCAAAACTGGAAGTATTACCATTATCATTGTTTATTAGTCATGTTACCTCTGACTCTGAGCAAAATCTACCCATAGACAATTTGACATATTTGGATATGCATCAAGTAGAGTATTTGACAGTGAAACCACTGATTTTAGACAGCAACCACATGTTTGATGGTCAGAGAAAGGAGCTGGTCAGCAGTTTTACATGAGGCTTCTGGGGGATTTACATTCAATGTAATTAAATATAAGCGAAAATATGTACTCTATTGTGAATGTTATCTCCAGTATTTGTATGAAAATAGCATAGTGAATAATCTGCTTGACACTCAAAATACTCTGTTGTGCCACAGCTGTAACACACTCAAAATACTCTCTGTAACACACTCAAAATACTCTGTTGTGCCACAGCTGTAACACACTCAAAATACTCTCTGTAACACTCAAAATACTGTTGTGCCACAGCTGTAACACACTCAAAATACTCTCTGTAACACACTCAAAATACTCTGTTGTTGTGCCACAGCTGTAACACACTGCTGTACCACAGCTGCTGTAACTCAAACACTCAAAATACTGTTGTGCCACAGCTGTAACACACTCAAAATACTCTGTTGTGCCACAGCTGTAACACACTCAAAATACTCTTGTGCCACAGCTGTAACACACTCAAAATACTGTTGTGCCACAGCTGTAAACACTCAAAATACACTGTTGTGCCACAGCTGTAACACACTCAAAATACTCTGTTGTGCCACAGCTGTAACACACTCAAAATACTCTGTTGTGCCACAGCTGTAACACACTCAAAATACTCTGTTGTGCCACAGCTGTAACAGCTCAAAAACTGTTGTGCTCAAAACACTCTTCTGTTGTGCCACAGCTGTAACACACTCAAAATACTCTGTTGTGCCACAGCTGTAACACTCAAAATACACTGTTGTGCCACAGCTGTAACACACTCAAAAATACTCTGTTGTGCCACAGCAAAACACTCAAAATACTGTTGTGCCACAGCTGCCTTGTGCCACAGCTGTAACACACTCAAAAAACTCTGTTGTGCCACAGCTGTAACACTGCTGTGCCACAATTGCCAGCTGTAACACACTCAAAATACTGTTGTTGTTCCACAGCTGTAACACTCAAAATACTCTGTTGTGCCACATAACACACTCAAAATATACTGTTGTGCCACAGCTGTAACACACTCAAAATACTCTGTTGTGCCACAGCTGTAAACACTCAAAATACTTTGTTGTGCCACAGCTGTAACACACTCAAAATACTGTTGTGCCACAGCTGTAACACACTCAAAATACTTGTTGTGCCACAGCTGTAACACACTCAAAATACTCTGTTGTGCCACAGCTGTAACACACTCAAAATACTCTGTTGTGCCACAGCTGTAACACAATCAAAATACTCTGTTGTGCCACAGCTGTAACACACTCAAAATACTCTGTAGTGCCACAGCTGTAACACTCAAAATCATCTGTTATGCCACAGCTGTAACACACTCAAAATACTCTGTTGTGCCTCAGCTGTAACACTCAAAATACTGTTGTACCACAGCTGTAACACTCAAAGTTGTGTAGCTGTAACACTCAAAATACTGTTGTTGTGCCACAGCTGTTGTGCCAACACTCAAAATACACTGTTGTGCCACAGCTGTAAACACTCAAAATACTTTGTTGTGCCACAGCTGTAACACTCAAAATACACTGTTGTGCCACAGCTGTAACACACTCAAAATACTGCTGTGCCACAGCTGTGCCACAGCTGTAACACAGCTGTCACTCAAAATACTTTGTTGTGCCACAGCTGTAACAAAATACTCAAAATACTGTTGTGCCACAGCTGTAACACTCAAAATCAAAATGCCACAGCTGTACACACTCAAAATACTCTGTTGTAACAGCTGTAACACAAAATACTCAAAAATGCCACAGCTGTAACACTCAAAATACTGTTGTGCCACAGCTGTAACACACTCAAAATACTTTGTTGTGCCACAGCTGTAACACACTCAAAATTCTGTTGTGCCACAGCTGTAACACACTCAAAATACTCTGTTGTGCCACAGCTGTAACACTCAAAATACTTTGTTGTGCCACAGCTGTAACACACTCAAAATACTCTGTTGTGCCACAGCTGTAACACACTCAAAATACTTTGTTGTGCCACAGCTGTAACACACTCAAAATACTCTGTTGTGCCACAGCTGTAACACACTCAAAATACATTGTTGTGCCACAGCTGTAACACACTCAAAATACTTTGTTGTGCCACAGCTGTTGTTGTGCCACAGCTGTAACACACTCAAAATACTTTGTTGTGCCACAGCTGTAACACACTCAAAATACACTGTTGTGCCACAGCTGTAACACACTCAAAATACTTTGTTGTGCCACAGCTGTAACACACTCAAAATACACTGTTGTGCCACAGCTGTAACACACTCAAAATACTCTGTTGTGCCACAGCTGTAACACACTCAAAATACTGTGTAGTGCCACAGCTGTAACACACTCAAAATACACTGTTGTACCACAGCTGTAACACACTCAAAATACTCTGTTGTGCCACAGCTATAACTCAAAATGCACTGTTGTGCCACAGCTGTAACACTCAAAATACTCTGTTGTGCCACAGCTGTAACACACTCAAAATACTCTGTTGTGCCACAGCTGTAACACTCAAAATACTCTGTTGTGCCACAGCTGTAACACACTCAAAATACTCTGTTGTGCCACAGCTGTAACATACTCAAAATACTCTGTTGTGCCACAGCTGTGAAAGTTGTATTTTCATGCCCTTCTTTCTAACAGAAAGAATCGCTCATGGGTGTGAGGAGATCATTTCAACAATTATTTTTGTAATTTTTTTCATTGTATCATTTTCATGGTTATTACAGGAAGCTGAGGATGATGAGGAAGGGGAACTAAATGAGGATCCTGGACTACAGGTCAAAGGTCAAGCAGTCACACCCGTCAAACAGGTGAGTAATTATATGTATCTGAGATGCATCATTCTACCACTGGACAGGGCCTGTTTAGTGGTGGTGTAGCCTTGTGCTTAAAGCATTCGCTTGCTTGGAAGACTCAGGTTCGATTGGGTACAATGTGTAAACCCCATGTCTGGTGTTCCCTGCCGTGATATTGCTGGAATATTGCTAAAAGCGGAGGAAAACTAAACTCCGGGTCCTCGGCATCATGAGCCTACGCTTTAACCACTAGGCTACCCCACCGTCCCTAAATCTGCTTTGTGGCATAATCTGTCCATGTGACCTGTTCATTGCTGAAGGTAAGTTCATGATAACCATCTATAATCAGGAAAATATTATTGTACTCTATATGTCATTAACCAATAGACTTTGTGGTGACTTCTCCCATAATGCAAATAGGCTGGAATTATAGATGATTTAATTCACGTTAATGGAGGAATTGATATCCTTCAGTGAACTAATACTGTCTCAATTAGTCTGAAACTGACAGACTGCCTTTCTGGTTTCAGGGAGAAGTTGCCACAAATGACTTGGCTGATGACTTGAAGACTCTCTCGATATCATGACAGATTTGTGCCTAGCGACAATCAGAAAAACGTCCACTTACACAATATAAGATTTCTCTTATAGTCAGTGACTTGCAAGTGATAGGTTTCTTTTCATTCCAAATCTGGGAACAGGCTGTAAACTCAGTCAGTCAAATGATTCATGTGTATGGTTTAGTGTGAAATGCTTTTTTCTAATTTTTACATGTTTAGAAGTTAGCTGACTTGTTTTCTGATGTTCTCAGATTCTTAAATGATTTCAGTATCTGAAGAATATATTCTTGTTTTAGAAGTGTTATTTGAGAATTAGACGTGGAAAGTAATGAATGTTGACCATTCCTTATTTTAATTTGAGAAAACTTGACTGTGATATTGCAAGGTTATGATGGTATGTTGTACTGGGATGAGTCAAAATTAACTTCCTGGTTCCCAGCCCTATCATGTAATCCTGCACAGATACCCACTGTAGGTCTCAAGAGTTGGGTGCAAAATGTCTGACTTGAAATTGTTTTATGGAGCCTGGCAAAGTTATGAAACGAATGAAATGATCGGATCCTGCGTTCATTGAAGTTGAAGATAACTATATCTTGACTCAAATGTCCTCATGTTATGGGTTTTTTGGCTGCTTTAGAACATCCTTTGTATTTTTGATTATCGAATGAAATTTATGAATGTGTCACTAAGTTATTGAACACAACTTAATTTTAAAACACAAGCCACCACCCAAGTAAAACTGTTTTGTTTTGCATATGATGGTGAATTTACAAATGAAGGAAAAAGAATGTACCTTTTCATGCTTTAAATAAACGTGTTAAATACAAGTGCTGGCGAATAAGCCGTGTCATCTTGGCTATATTTCTTATAGATGGCATACATAGTTATCACAAGACAGCAATTAAATTTAATTCTGATTTGCATCATTTTGTTTATAACATCAACTCTGTATGCCGTTACTCAACCCAAAATATAAGCAACTATGAAACAGGCATAGAGGCAATCAAGTACAATCCTTAATTCTGTATAATACTTTGTTATTTAAATTTTTGGACTTGCATCATGTCATCTCGAAGGAAGTATGTTTTAATGTGAATATGTTTACGTAATTACACAATAATATTATTGTACATGTTTTTTACGGCCTGTGAAGATCCGGGTTAGAATTGATTGTAAGAACTTATGCTTGTCGTAAGAGGTGGTTAGTGGGGTGGTTAGGCTCGCTGACCTGGTTGACACGTCATCGTATCCCAGTTGCATAGATCGATGCTCATACTGTTCATCACTGACTCAATTATTATACAGATCGCTGCCATATAGTTAATTATATCATTGCTGAGTGTGGCGTAAAACTAAACTCACTCACTGTTATGTTTTATACCTTGATTGCTCCAATCTGAGGGTAGAAAAGAAGAGAATATATACAAAATTGGCATGGACCATAAGGCCGGTTTTTTTAATAATTGGCTTACAGATTTTTTCCAAAATAACTAGGGTCGGTGGTGGAAATAAAAATAAAATTGAAAGTCTTCAATTTTTGTAAGTGTTTTTCTCAACATTTGAGTCGGTAGGATTAAAAAAAAATAATCCAAATTTTGATATTGTAAGAGAAGAGTAATTATTGTGAATCATAAGAGTGAATGACTGAGTTTTCGAACTCTGTAATAATGTCAAAAATATGTTGACATCACCTGTAGAATGCGGTACCTCACTATTACAATCAACCTGAAATCATTTAATAGTCGTTGCTTGGTGACAGTGCAACAATGGTATGGACAGTCTGGACATGCCTCTTTTCTATCTTTGAAGCATCGAATATATAGGATTAGTCATGTTTTCAGTGTAATATCTCTGCAAATATCAGCCTTTCTCCATTTAAGGTTTGCTGTCAAGATTAAAAGTAGTGTAAATCATGATTGAAGTTGTTTGAATAGTTTACATTGTACTTGCTGGATTTGTATGTATTCCCACAATATTTATAGCAGATTCCATTGTATCACTCTAACAGAAGGATCCTGGCCACAATATAAACATGACCAAGTTGTCCATATGATCCTGAAAGTTTGGTTATGCAGAACCAATTTACTGTCAGTTAACTATGCTTGAGTCTGTTTTCGACATTCCTTCCCGGTGGGGAAATGACAATTTTTAAAAGGGCCAAGTAGTTTCACCTCTAGTCTTATTTACATTTTAACAGAGGTTTGTTAAACATGTTAATGTGGCTTTATGTATCAGTTTGTCAACAAAGATAGGTTGACCATGTTGGCACATTTTTTATGATGATTTTTATCAATATTTACTCTACTGTCTGTCTCACTCACAATACTCATAGAAATTCTTCATGCCAAACCATTTATTTTCCATTTGTTTGATTATGTATTCATTTGAAGTATAAACATTTGACCACAATGAATGTGAAGAGGCTAAGTCATTAGTTCCCTCACTCACAACACACAGTGAATCATGTTTCCTTCAATAAGGTGATTGACCCACGTAGTTCCAGGTTAGAATTGGTCTTCAATAACCCATGATTGGCGTAAAAGGCAACGAACGGGATTGGGTAGTCAGGCTTGCTGACTTGGTTGACACATGTCATCGTATCCCAATTGCATAGATCAGTGCTCATGATGTTGATCATGGGATTGTCTGGTCCAGACTCTTATTATTTACAGACTGCTGCCATATAGCTGGAATATTGCTGAGTGCGGCGTTAAACAACAGAAGCAATCAATGAGGTGATAATGCAGGCATGAAGTCTTTTTTTGAAGATTTTATATTCCTGTCTTTTGACTTGAATTTGTGTTTTTAATGTTTCAAGGATTAGATGAATTTTTAATCGGAAACTATGCATCAATATTGTAGTGTATTTTTATTTTTGAACTCAAACCACATGAAAGTTCATTGAAAATGGTAATCAGTCGTGCAGAAGAGACGGTTGTCACCTGTATATGTCTAGTATCAGTATATTGCAGGGTTTAGTAGCCTAGCCTAATGGTTACAATATTGCTTGCTCATGCCAAATGTCCGCTTTTGGTTTTACACATGGGTACGCTGTGTGAATCTCTCATTTGGGGTCCTTTGCTGTGCTAATGTTGGAACATTACTAAAAGCATATATGTAGTACCCATCTGACTGTCACTCACTGCTGCTGCGAGCACTCCTAAATCATTATCATTATCATCAATAGGGTTCCTCAATGTTCCTTCGTCACCCATGTATACATGCCACCTGTGTGGTGTAGTAATGAATCTATTTTAGTTATGTAATGAAATGAGGCTGTGTATTATTTAAGTCAAATGAGACCAACTGTTTTAGAATTTTGTACCCTTACCTAATATTGGAGCAATGCCAAGAGTAGAAGGCCTCACACAAGAAGTATTAGTGATGTAATCAAAGTGCACGTTTGTCTGCTGAACCCAGCTGGGCCTTTGATTGAACCATTGGATATAAATAGTAGTAACTACCTGGTACACTACAAAGCAAATGAATTACTGTACTAGAACAGAGGGATAATCAGGCATGTGCATGTGTCATTTCGTTCATGGTTGTCTGGAAAGAATTGGTATTTTCAAAGGATCTGCACTTGAATTTCTTAGTTCTTGTAAGGCAATTCAAATTTCGTAATAATTTGGTTAGATAATTTTTGTTTTCATGAATATACCCTCTACATACTTTGGTGAAAAGCTTGTAATCAGTCAATTACTTTTTGGCAAATATGGTGAATACAGGAAAAACATAAAACTTCATAGAAACTACTTTGGTAATGATATATTTAGTAAAGTTTTTGTTAAGACTTTGTATTTGTATCTTTGTGAGATTTCTCTGCTTGCAATACCAATCATTGCTATTTGAAAAGTCTATTTAATAAATCTTTTGATTTCTATTGATTTTGTGTTTCAATTACTGCAACAACAAAAAAAAAAACAATTGTGATGTTCGATTTATGAAAACAGCTGTGAAGATGCAGTATGGAAGTTCTTGATACATTTTGTCCTGAGCTGTCCTTGTATTTTAGAAATACAAAAACTACAAGTATAACTTGTTGACTGTATACCTTAAAGAACCACTAAACTTTGTTTTTTGTTACTCTTTTAACCATTACATATGAAAGATTTGTGGTTAGTCTTATGCGGAACACCAAATTTATTCTTTAAAAACTTGTGGTTAATTAATACCGAGCGATTAAAAGTGGCCAAAAAGTCGCCTGTCTCCCTCTCGCCCGCCAACGAAACCACAGACAGGTTACGTAACTCTGTCGCCAGAGCACTGCAGTGACGTCATATGAGGAACGATTTTCAGTTAGTTGTATAGAAAATGTGTAGCACGCTCATCATTTTGATGATTTCTCGACATCAACGACGACATGCCGAATCGTTGCTTTCTCGTGAATTGCTCCTAGGGTCGGGCGATGGTGTCCCCATGCACAGATTTCCACAGGACCCGCAGTTCGTGCTA